CCAAGCGATGGTTCTTAACAGGAGAGGGTCAAAAGTATTCCCTTTATGCCGGAGAACCGGAAGGTAAATTAAAATGGATGACAATGGGAAGGGACAAGGGAGAGGGGAGAGGCAAACGAGCATTGAGTGAGGGAATGAGTATAAATGAATGAGAGTGAATGAATGGGAATGGGAATGGGAATGGGAATGGTGGCACGCTGATTGAGGCTGCTGCTGCTGCTGCAACATGGCCGCCTAATTGTATCTGAATCCGAGTCGGAATCGGGGAATCCGAATCCAAAAACTCTAAGCAAACACCTTTTTTCTGGCCCAGCACACACCTCGATTTTTTACGCCTGGCGAGGCGTTTAATTGGGGTTGTTATTGTCAACGACAAGGATATATGGAACGGAACGGGGGGGCTTGTAGCGCGGTTTGCCTGCGATTAACAAGGACCAAATTGTATATATATATCTCTGACATTCAACATAGTTTATTGCATTCGTATTTCGAAGGCTATATGTGTGTTTGTCTGTGTATCTGACGGATGCGAATGCATTGTCACACTTCAAATCGCATTGCAGACAGCTGCGTAGGATTCGTGTCTGGATCCTGAGGAGAGTCCTCGATGGCAAACACGAGGGCCATGACATTGCGTCGCTCTATAAAGGCTTTTTCACGAGGTGGTGGAATTTAATGTGTATTTTTTTGAAGGATTTTAATTGGATTTGTGGGTTTAGTTAACAAGGAAATGAGGTTGTTTTAATAACAACTTTTAAAATATTAAAATATTTATTCAAGTTAGTTAGATGCTAGTAACTCAGTGAAGGAGTCATTTCCGACCCTATAAATCATATATATTCTTAATCAGCACTGAAAACCGAATCGATCTAGACATTTTTGGGCGAAAAAAAATTTTGAAAATTTTATTTGGTATTTTTATTGTTAAAATGGTTGACAAAAATATTGACAAAAATTTCGATACCTTAAATTTGAAAATTTGGTAAACAGATTTGTTAAACTAGAAAAAACTAGCATAGAAAAGTTTACCGAAATGAATTTGAAGCTTTTTTAGCTTAGTTATGGTGATTTTAGACTTCAATATATAAAAAAATAAATACCATTTAAATTATCGATAAATATTAATTTAAAGAAATTGAATACTTCTGGTCTTCTTGAAGGGTTTTATATATTTTTTTATATTCTTGATCAGCTTTAAAAACCGCACTGATTAAGACATATTAATAAGAAAAAAAATTTTTGTATGATTTCTTCTAAAAATTTTAAGTTGTTACATTGTAAAAATTGTAAAAATTAAAATTCCCAAATATTTTAAACTGTAAAATGTTGTAAGTAGATTTATGAAACTAGATCAAAAACATTTTATTTATGCCCGTTTTTATTAATTTAATTTTTAAATCACCTAAAGCTATCTCCCACCTTTTCTTAATAATTCCAAAATCATGTTAATCGTGTTTTTCTCTCGTAAAAATAATAATAATAATAATAATCGTAAAACCCCCTTTCTCTCCATCTCATTGAATCCTTGCTCTCATTGCTATGCAAATCCAATATCAATTGAGAACTAAACTCCAACAAATAAAAATAAACTCGTAAAGAGGAGGACGACGAGCCAAAGGACTCGAAGGACTCTCATCGAAAAATGGGAAATACACATAAACACAAACAAAGTAGTTTGAAGTGCGGGACAAAACATAGAAAAACAGCAAAAACAGGCGGCAAAAATAAATAAATAAATGAAAATGAAAACAGAAAAACTGAAAATAATAAAAACACACAAATAAAAGCGAGTTGAAGACAATAAAAACAAACTGGTTTTTTGTGCGAGAGAATTTTCGAATTGAATTGAATTTGTATGTGGAAATGTGTGTGTGCTGGTGTGTGTGTTTGTGAGATACTTAAACTTCCTGCGGAAGCTAAACTACTTTTTACTTTGTTATTGTTGCTGTGTTTATTAAATGCAACATCATCATTAAGCCCATAACAATGGAAAACGCACACAAATACACTCACACTTACACACACACACTAATACAACACCTAAAGCACCAATAGAAAATGGGCGTGCGCAATGCTGGGAAATTTCCCACTGCCCACTTGCTTTAGCAAAAGGACTTTTTTTCGTAGGAAATTTCCCATACAAAAACATGCGCATGTAGCCCTCTCGCTGACTGTGTAGCTCTCTCCCGCTCACACGCAAAGCTGATTGGTCATGAGCGAGCGGCCATGACGCGCCCACTAGCGGCGGCAGCAGAGGTGACGCCGGCAGAGCTGGAACGGCGCGAGCCCCTTGCCTAGATTTACTTCCCTTTTCCCTAACTACTTCCACGGTGCTTTGATTCCACATTCCCCCTTCCACTGGGCTTTACTTTTAGAGTTCTTTTTCTTCCACATTCCCCTTTCCAGTTTTTTTTTTTTTTTACTTCCACATTCCCCTTTCCCTAGTTTTTCTTACACATTTCCTTTTCTTTGTTCTTTATTTCCACATTCCCTCATACCCTTTTCCACATTCCCATTTCCATGTGTGAAGCCTCATGAGCGACAATGGAGTGCCCACTTTCCATGGGGCCTCCGGAAGAAAGGACCTCTGAAAGAGGACCCTCCATGTACTCAATACATGTATACATATACATTTATATATAGAATATATTACCCCCCCCCACACACACACGCCATGTAAGGAGCCTTTTCAATTGCCCCAACAACTACTACAACGACGCCCCCTTAATGTTCGTGTTGATTATGTACTTTGCTATATTTCATTCGGTTCGCTTCATTTCGGGGTGTGTCCTTAAAAAGGACATGAGTTGACAGACACAGACACGCGCATGTATCGGCATGTGAAGGATCTCTGAGCTAATCATGGGTTAGCTTATGAAATCGAAATTCAAATGGGGATATATATATAGATATATATGTATAGAGTGGGGATACGAAGCGAATCCTTGTATATAAGGACTCTACTTTAGCGGCCAAGTGCTCTCCATAACAGTTGCGTTACACGCAAGTAATATATGAAAAGCATAGCCATAAAATGGATAGGAACGTAGGAACGTGATACGTGATATCATAAAACTGGATAACTTTTGTGATACTTTAAATATACGATATTATATTATATGATATTATATGATATTATACTATATTATACTATATAATATGATATAATATTATATGATACGATATTATAAGATATGATATATTTAAAATGTTATTTTTAAGGTTTGTCTGTCTAATTTTTCATAAGATATATCTTAAAGTTTTGGGTAGGGATGTAAAGATGCTTTTAGCTTCAAGAGTTTTGAGAATTTACCCAAGTCATTTAAGGGTTTTCTTGGCTTTTTCGAATGGTATATATGATATGATGATTTTAAAAAAGTAAAAAAAGTATTATATAAAATCAAACTCACCAGTTATCTTTATCATGTGAATCCTTATTATTTTTAGATAAATCATATAACACTTTTTTAATTCCGGAACTTTGAATTTCACTTTCACTTTTTTGTTATTAACATTTCCATTGAATCCTTAGACCTGAAATACACATTATATTAGTTATACAAAATCTTATAAATTGTAGAGAAAAAATAATAATATGAAATATTTAAAAAAAAATCAATGTTTTTATATATAAAAAAGATTATATGTAAAAACATTGAATAAATAACTTATTTTGGAATATATAGAACTCTTAAAACTAAGAATTCTATAATTTAAAAACTGGCTTATTAAAATAGTATACAAAAGTATATAGATATATATTTTAGTATCATAGTTTTTCTGTATTTATCAGATATAACGATTGAAAACAATTCGTAGTTCAAGCTTTTCAAAATACTTTAAAGGATATTTTTCAAACCCGATAATAAAGTGTAGCTTTCACATAATTTCCTCTCCCTACCTTAAATTGCATAGAAGTCCTTAAAATAAATCTAGATATAGATTATTTTGATAGTTTTCCATTAGGAATATATCCCTTTTATCAATTATTATTATATTATTTAAAATTATTTAGAGTACATTTTAATTTCAAGCTTTATTTTACTTTAAAAAATTCTTCCCAAAGACATAATCCTCACTCTCTTCCTTCCTTTTTAAATTTCCTATAGAAGTCCTTGAAATAAATCTCTCAGAAAAGAGAGGATTACTTGCATATTATTTTGACCAAAATCTTATCTATATTTTTTGGGTTTACTTAAAATTCTATCTCTAATTGCCATCGGCTTTAATCCGTCTTAAATCTTCCTTATCGCCCATTCCCGCTCAATAGGATAATGAGAGGATATATCTTTCGCTCTCACTCCCTCCTCCCTCCACTCTCTCTCTCTCTCTCTTAGCCCTCGATGATATCATATCGGAGACATAAACAGGGACAAGAAGACACAAGAAGTTGTGTCGTAGTACAGCTGATAATGATAAATACAATATAATGACGCGGCGGCGCTCGTTGACAGCATCTCAAGTGCGCCAGAGGGAGACGACGACGACGAGTGAGAGAGTGAGAGAGGTTACCAGTGGAAAATGGAATACTATACTGGAGGTACCTAAGGAGCTGTTTCTGCTACTGCTGCTGGAGGCTCTCATCTCTCTCCCTCAAGTGCCACTCGAGAGCGGGTAGAGTAAGAAAAAGAGAGACAGAAAGAGAAAGACAAGAGCTGGGTGTTAGAGGGAGATGCCGGCAGGACACTCGCTTTGACTCCCTCTCGCTCTCTCTCTCTCTCTTTCTCTTGCTCTTGCTCTCGAAAGGTGGTTGAATTGGGCCACTCACATTCGTGGCTATATCCTTGTATCCTTGTTGAAAAGGACATGAGAAGCCACTTAGCTCGCGAGAGTCTCTCCACAGTCGCTTTGCCTGTGTGTGTATGCTATATACACCCAATGGCAGTGGAATATATATACATCTATATGTATATAGCTCGTAGAGACACCCCAAAAAGCGTGCTGACGCTCTGCCGTTGGCCGCCGGGACTCGACTCGAACTCGGACTTGGACTCGTGTCGAGTTCTTGATGCCTCGTTAGTTGTTGATGACACTTCAGTTTGGAATGTTTAGAGTGCGCTCCGAGCTCGATCGCGATACGGACACTAGCCAGGATATACCTTAAAGTCGTTCGTTAACCAGTGCCATCATTTCTATCAAGTGTTATCAAGTGTCCTCCTCACAATATACTATATATTTTTTTGTCGTGTTAAAAAACAAAATAAAATAAAAAAGAAACCCCGGTTATCAAAGTGGCGGAGAAACGCAAAAGTTCTTCAACGCCGTCGCCGCCGCCCGCGCCGCAGCGTCGCAAATCAAACGGTTCCTCACCTGGCGGCGGTTCCCCATTACCAGCGGAGATGACCACCTCGGGTCTGGGCTCGGTGGTAGCCGGCTCCGGAGCGATATCCTTGGAGCGTACGCCCACAAAGCGCAGCGATAGGGAGCGGGAACGGGAAAGGGAACGGGAGCGGGATAATAGCAGTGGCTTGGGCAGCGCTGGAAGCCTGCCAGCATCACCGCAGAGCGGTATCACCGTCAGTCCCGCCTCACCGGCCACACCCTCTACGCCCAAACGGCCCCTAAGGACATCGACGCCCTCCATGGAGCGGGAAAGGAATCGAGATCATGAGAGGATACGAGATCATGAAAGGACTCGAGATCATGAGAGGACACGGGATCACGAGAGGACTCGAGATAATGACAGAGAACGAGAGCGGGAAAGGGAGCGTGAGCGTGAGCGAGAGCGCGAAAGATCCGCCAGGATCTTTAGCACCGCCAGCACCACCGTGCCCACAAATACCAGCTCCAGTGCGAGTGGTTTGGCGCCGGAACAGCTCCGCATTCCGACGGGAGCTGCTGCCTTTAGTGGCTTTCCTGGTCTTCATAGCATGAGCAGCCTGATGGTACCTTCATCGGCAGCTGTAGCTGCCGCCGCTGCTGCCCCCTTCCTGCCCTGGTCACCTATATTGTTGCCGCCTTGGAGCCACGCCCTTTTGCCAGCCGCCTTCTATCCGGCGGCCCTGCGAAATGCTCTGCCAGGGTAAGCAATTGATCAGGATGGAGAATTAAGATATATCTTATGACTTGGATATGATGGGAATTAAGATATATATGGAATGTATCTTATAGATTGGTTATGATGGGGATATATCTAATGGATGGATAAATATTATCAGATTCTGTAATCGAAGGAGTACTTGATTTTTGTACTTTATACCTAGCTTTTTGGGGAGTTTATACGTCCCAGAATTCTGGGTTTATACTTGAAGAATTTCTTTGAGATAAATCTTTTCTGATTCTTTGGGGTTTATATCTTTATCTTTTAGGGGTTTCTTTTGGAAACTCTTGGAGGAAATTAAAATTATATCTTCTTGGAATTTTGGCTATATAATTTAATAATTTCTGATTCTCTGGTTATATATTCCGAACTATCTATATATATAATGGGGGTTTCAATATTTCAGAAATCTGTGTTTATCATAGAATTTATGTTCATTCATGTTTCATCACATAGAATCTAGAATAGAATTTGCAGGAGAGTTCATGTCATATCCTTGAGGTTTATGAAGAAAGTAACTCCTTATACTTATTTTATAATTATAAAATGTTTAACTTTTGATAGAAATCTAACTTTCAACTCATTCATTTAGAGAGGAAACCCTTAATAAAAACCCTTTTCTTTCATATTCAATTTTAAATTAAAATGAAATATTTAAAATATAATCTTCTATTAATAACTGTTCTCTGGTTTTATTCATTATTTAATACTGAAATCAAATATTTTTTTTAAATTCCATAATCAATTATCACTATAATAATTAATACCCCTTAAAAATTACTAAATATCCCCTAAATGTTTCCTCCCGAATTAAATTTAAATCTATTATCTTTGCCTTCTTCTCAAAAAAGAAATCCCCCTAAGCTGTAAGTTGGCCCACGCCTAAGCTCTGACTGAAAATCACACCCTAGCTAGTCCCATTTGCTAATCAAACCCATCCAAACCCGTCCAGCTAATGGACTTGTCCGGCTAATCCCGCGAGCTCCTCGGAGGCCAGTGGACCAAATCCCAATCCCATCCGAGAAGACACGGGACAAATGCAAAATGCAGACACAGGAAAATATTCCGCAGGATTGCAGGACAACAGGACGTAATTCCCCATGCAAGATGGGATGAGCAAGTACTCAAGGTCCTCCAAACGGGGAAAATTTGGAAATCCTGGCTTAGAAATTCCCGTGGTCAGCAGTGGAAAGCCCAAGGCGGCAAGGAACATGTGTGCAACAGAACAGAACAGAACAGAGGTGTGCAGTGGTCTGGCGGCGTCACACTGTCTGGCACAAGGGAATTCCCTTCCACAGGACAACCGGGGAATGCCCGCTCTTCCTCTCCCTCTCTCTCTCTCTTTATCTATTTTTCCTTCTTCTTTTTTTTGGCGTGGGAATTTCGCGCGGTTTGGGAAAACTCAAGATGGAAAAACCGGAAGCAAAGGCAGGCGAACTTGCGCCAACATGTGGCAGGACCTGTTTCGACCTGCCAAAGAAACGAACCCAAACCTGACCTGTGTCCTGTGTCCTGCTGACCCGAGCAGGTAGCAGATCCGTTTTAATTGTTGATGGTATTAGTGGAAAATCAAATCTGGTCTGGCGGCGGCCTAGGTGTCAATAATCCAGCGATTTGGTTGCACTTAATCGAAGTTAAGCCAGAGTCCTGCCCAGGATACTCTGCTTTTCTCTCTCTAGATCTGCATATATGCTTTATATATATATATATTTAAATCTATATTCCCCTTCGCCTCCTGCGGGGGCAAGTGTGAAAGTCAGACTGCTGCAGGTAGCTCAGGTTTGTTCGTGCTGCTGCAGGACTCCTTTGGTCCTTTGTCGCACCTTCCGGCCATTCATAAGATCGACACAGGACCGGATGTAGCTGCAATGAGCATGAAATGCTGGAATTTAACCAGCATTTCCTATCTTTACACCTCAAGATCTATCTTATTCACTTTTTCGTTGTCTTTTATAAGTCGGCAAAGGCCTTTGATTATTCATCATTTGCCATTAATCATTTGTAAATCAAAAAGGTATTGAGAAAATAAAATGGGAATTCATCTTAAAAGGGTGATTTTTAGGGGATTGATTATATAATTTTATATATTAATATTGATATTTATAAGTAAAAATATAAAATGTAAATATTTAAGAAATATAAATATATAAAAAATATAAATAATTAAATATATAAAAAAAATATATAAATATATAAATACATAAAAAATATATATAAATATTTAAAAAATATATATAAAAATATTTTGAGTTAGGGAAAATATTTATACACATATAATATATTAATATATTTTTTAAATATATATTTTTAATTTTTATTTTATATTTTTTTAATATTTATTATTATATATTAGCTAATATTTATACAAGCATATTGCTAAATATTCCTAAATAAACCAAGTAGGTTGGGCACTTAAAGTTTTATTAATATTTCTGTGTAAAATAACATTAATGAAGTTTCAGAACTCAAAGAAAGTAGATTTCTAAATTTATCCTGAAAAAATGCAGTTAGAAAAGCTGAAATTCATGGCAGGACTTGAGTAAGAAAGCTTTTTAGAAACCGCTCTTAGAAAATCGCTAAAAAAAAAAAAATCTATAAAAATCTTTAAATATCTATAAAAATCCTAAAAAAAAAATATTAAAAATCTATAAAAATCCTAAAAAAGCATAAAATACCATAAAAATCCATCAACAAATCTGTGAAAATTCTTTAAAGTGAATAAAATATCATAAAAGTTCATAAAAATCTTTAAAAATTCATAAAAACCTTTACAAAATTATAGAAAACCTTATAAATCAATAAGAAAATCTTTAAAAATCGTTTTAAACTCTTATAAAATCGCATAAAAATCTTGAAAATTCACGAAAAATCCCAGACAACCCCCTAATAATCCGCCTTCTTGTATCCCCTTTGCAGCCTCTTTGATGCCAAGGTGCCCTCCTCGCAGCGTTCCGGCTTCCACATATCGGACATCCTAAACCTGGAGGGTTCCGAACTGAAAAATGCCGCCGCTGCGGCTGCCGCTGCTGCCCAGCAGCAGCAACAGCATGTCAGCGATCTGAGTGAATCCACCAATGGACATGGTCATCATGGTGGACATGGACACGGACACGGTGGACCCTCGTCGGCTCTGTCGCCCACGCCCGCTGCCGCTGGTTCCGGTGGATCCGAAGACCAAAGCAGCGGTGCTGGAGCCGCGAATGGTTCCAGCTCGGCGGGTTCAGATCATCATACCACCGAGCATCATCATCCGCATGGCCAGCAATTACCGCCAGCACATACCCAGCATCCAGCACACCCGCACGCGCATCCACATCTCCATCAGCAGCACTCGCATCCGCACCAACAGGCGATCACTGCCTTGCCGCTGAGTCATCATCACCAGAGTGGTGGTGGAGGAGGAGTAGCAGGAGGAGTCGGAGGAGATAGCCATGCCCAGGCGGCGGCCCATCTGCTGGCCAGTCATAATGCCGCCGCTGCTGCTGCCGTGGCCGCTGGCCAGTACCTGCCCAATTTGCCCAAGAATTTTGCTGGAAGCTTTGGGGACGAAATGTCCTCGTATCATCACATTACCCAGACGATGCTCCAGCATACGGGGAGGAGTGCGTGGATCAAGGAGAATGAGCTATACGGTGAGTGGTCCTTTCTCTTTAAAAATTATATCTAGTAAAGATCCTTGTAAAGTGTGGCTTCATTCAAAAACTAAATCCTGTCCTGGGGTTGAACTCTACGATTAACTGGCCAGGAGGATATTGTTTCGTAATTGCCGCAGTTACTCGGTCAGTCGAGCGATGAGGCAGCTGTGTTTGCTTTCCAGGACGCCTGCCATCATCAGGGTTCAGGTGGTGCTGGTTCAGGGAGTGACTGACAGAGTTCTGATCCTGGCCCACACCCAAAGCAAACCCTCCTACTCCTCCTCCTCCTTCCTACTCCTCTTTCCTTCTCCTCCTTCTCTCTTTCCTCCTCATTTATTGGCAGTTAACTGCGGATCGAAATGAGTCTCTCACTCGATTTTTTTGAAGGGGGGACTTCCCCTTCTATATATAATCTTGACTAATAGTTTGTATGCGCTTCACACTTGAGGATTAGCTGCTGCTGCTCTTGTGTGTCCTTTTTTGCTCATTCGATCGCTCCTTGTTGTTGTTGCGGCCCAAACATTTCTCGTCCTGGAAATTTATGGCACGCACTTCCGCCTCGTCCTTTTTATACCACTCTCTCCTTTCCACTCCTCTGTTTTTTATTATTCCCTTTTTTTTTGTTTAGCTACAAATTATAATTGCTGCCCGCTTGCCGTTTTTTTGAGCGCTCTTTTCGCTTTCTTTTTTTTTTTTTGGGAATTTTCACAGCTGTGAAGGAGTCGAGGAGGCGTCGTTTTGATTATATTAAGTTATTAATTTGTTGAGTTGTCATGGTGAAGGCGAAGGGTATCGGAGTTGGCATCGGATTCGGCCAAAGGCAAGGGGAACCAGGGGGACTAATGGATGAGCATTAGCTGCTCCTATTTTCCGCTTTCTTTTTGTTTAGTCAATGGGCCCAGGACTCGCAAGGGGAGAAACAGGTGTTGCCTAATCGTTCTTGAGAACTCGCTAATGGTTTTTGGGTTCAAAATAAAATTATGTCGAACAGAAAAGTGCTGTATATCGACAAAAACTATATCAAAAGTATTGTAAACTTTGATAAATCAAACTTTTATATATCAAAATTGATCACATTTTAGGTAAAATGACGTAAACTTAAATATATCGATGTTTTAAATATCGAAAAAATATCGAATGATCGTCAACTTTGTTATATCGAATTTTTAATCATAAAAAATTATATCATTAAATTTAAAGTATGGATAATACTAAGGAAAATATCTTTAAATTGTATAAATCGAATCTTTTGCATTTATAATGTAATTATCGAAATAATCGATATTATCGGGAAGATTTTGGTTGTACTTTAGCTTTTTCAATTATATTGGTTTATCAAAACAGAATATCGATTTATCGCAATGCTTAACGATGGATTTATAAAACGACTTTATCGGCAAATATCGATATTTTTTGCTAAATAGGTTTATTGTTATATATTTTAATATATCTTAAAATATTTAAATATATTTTTTTTGTTTTTTTTTAGAAAGATCTTTTTAGGTTTCTATTTAACGTTCTTTATAATTTCTTTTATTTTTAAGTTCTTCAAATGTTTATTTCAAATTGTTAACCCAAGTATTCCTTTGGTTTATGAAACAAAAGCTGCATTATTTTATTATCACCCATTCTAAATGCTTTGTGGTTGCCCCGAGATCCCGCCCTAGAAAGCAGGACATCAGCCCAATGCAGACACGCCCGTCGATAAATCATAGATCAAAAATCACTCTGTATTTCTCTCTATCTCTATCTGTATATCTTCCTCTCCCTCTCTCTCTCTCTCTCTGTTCGCAATGAAAAATCCTTGCAAAGACCGGAAGAGCTCTGCCTCTGCTGCGACTGCCATTGATGCAGTTTTGAGGTTTGGCTTTTGTGTTGCCCTCCATTAGCATCCTGGTTTCTGGTTTAGTACAGGCCCGAAGGTCAGCAGTCATCAGTCAGCAGTCAGCGGGAGATCGCTCACAGAGCATAGAGAGTTCCTGCCAGGTAGACGACAAGGCAATACCTCCCTAATTGAGGTTATTAGGCAGAGCCATGTCCGGATAGGGGTTGTTTATAAATGTATATATATATCTGGTATATATATAGTGTATACATCTGGCAACGACCGCAGCCTCATGTCGGGCCTAATCCAATTGCCTCCCTGATTCCTCCACTTCCCCTTCCCTCTTTTGCAGATCCTGAAATTCTGCTCGATCATTCAGGTGGGGGGAGGGTAGGTTCTATAGTTCCCTATAGTTTTCTATATAGTTTGGGTTGTTCTATAGTTTAGGGGTGTGGCACTGCATTAATTTATGGCCAAAAAGGCATTTCAATTGCTGACAAATTTCCCAGCCAGCTACGAGTCCTTTTGTCTTTTGGTTTTTAAACAAGAATTGATGGCCTTTTAAGGCGCCTAAAAGGTGTGTTTGCTATTTTAGGGAGTCCCCTAAAAGGGATTTATTGTTCACAAAAAAATTGATTTTACAATAATATTAATATTTTTCTACACATTTAAAATATTTTCCTTAGTTTTCCTACATTTCCTACATTCCTTAAATATAAAAAGCATTCTTTTAAGGATTTATTTTTAACAAAAGCAAGAAATTGATTTTATAAAATATTTTAAAAAATTCTAGACATTAAAAATAGTTTCCTACATTTTCCTATATTTATTTTCAACATAAAAACTACTCCCTCTAACTTGAAACCCTTTTCTTATGATCCTTTCCAGGCTCTCAACAACCAGCCAGTCCCGACAGCACCTCGCCAGTGACCTCGGAGGTCTCCTACACCTACATTGGCTCCAATTGCCAGACCTCCCCTGCCCTTTCTGGGGATTACAAAAGCTATAGCCGATCGGCGGACAGTGATGCTTTGTCTGTGGGCGATGCCCTTAATAGCCACACGCTACATGGCGGCTCCTCTGGAGGCAGTGGTGGTGCTGGAGGACCGTCGGCGGCACATGCCCTGCACAACAATAACAACAATACCACAAACAATAACAACAACAACAATAGTTTGAAGCACGAAGGGATCAATGGCGGAGGCGGTGCCAGTAGTGGTCATGACGATAGCTTAAACGAAGATGGCATCGAAGAGGATATCGATGATGTGGACGATGCCGATGGCAGTGGTGGAGGCGGTGGCACTGGTGCCGATGGTCTACCCAACAAGAAGCGAAAGCGTAGAGTGCTCTTCACCAAAGCCCAGACCTATGAGCTGGAACGAAGATTCCGCCAGCAGAGATATCTGAGTGCACCGGAGAGAGAGCATTTGGCCAGTTTGATTCGGCTAACGCCGACGCAGGTGAAGATCTGGTTCCAGAATCATCGCTACAAGACGAAGCGAGCTCAGAACGAGAAGGGTTACGAGGGACATCCCGGCTTGTTGCACGGTCATGCCACACATCCGCATCATCCATCAGCCCTGCCATCACCGCGACGCGTTGCCGTGCCGGTACTGGTGAGGAATGGTAAGCCCTGCTTGGGCGATGGCTCCAAGCTGGGTCCCGACTGTGTCTCGGCCACGGCCACGGCCATGCAGAATGCAGCGGCTGCCCATCATTTGGTGGCTTTGAATGGAGCGGCTGCCTATCAGCATGCAGCGGCAGCTGCCGCAGGATTACATGCCCATGCCCATGCTCATGCCCATGCTCATCCACATGCCCAGCGGGCCTGGTGGCCCTAATATTGTTAGGATGGATGGAGGAGAGAGCTGGGTGGTGGGCAGGAGCTGGGATCTTTAGGGGGCCTGGAGCCACTCGAATAGGTGGATCGCACAGGGATCCCTTGGTGCAATAAAACAAAGAGAGAGAGATATATATATAAATGAGAGAGAAGAGAGAGGAGAGAGAGCATAAAGAGAGCAGAGAGAGCGTGGAGAGAGCTCGGATAGAGCTCAAAGAGAGCGGAGAGAGCGCAAAGAGAGCCAAGAGAGCGCGGAGAGAGCTCGGAGAGAGCTCGGAGAGAGCTCAGAGAGAGCTCAGAGAGAGCTCAGAGAGAGCTCAGAGAGAGCGCAAAGAGAGCGAGGCAAGATATACTGTAAAACAGAGCTGCCCAGGCAGTGCATCCAGGAGCAGCTCTGCCTTAGAAGCCAAAGCCAAAACATGATACATACTATAAATTATAAATTAAAAAAAAAAAAAAATATATAATAATCATAATAATAATATAAAAACCCCTAACTATTTTGTAGTTTCATCGATTTCTCCTTGAGTCATTCCTGTACATAGGTTAGCGGGGAAATATCCCACTAAAAATATATATAAACTAGTAATAAAAAAAAGAAAAAAAAAAAAAAACCAAACCAACAAACGTAGCTCTAGAGCTATAAAACCCACTTAGTCAGGGGTTAACTCTTCATATATATAGACAGACCTGACAGCTGGCCCTAAGATAATGTTCTTTGGATTACTATTATATTTTGTTTAGTAGCTTTTTAGAGTATATTATCTCAATGTCATTTGTCAAAAACTTAAAGGTCTCTCCTCCCTCCCCTCTAAACCATTTTTCACTGCACTAAAGTTGATAATACTTATAAAATCTAGATCTAGACACCGACTATTTTTGTTTTTTTTTTTTTTTTCTACGCCTAAGTTGATTAAAAATATAAAGGAAAATTTTGTACATATTAAAAAAAAAAAAAAAAAAAATTAATAATAAAAAAAAAAGAAACCACAAAAAAAAACTTATAAATGGCAATGCAACTAAATCTGTACTATATAAACATAATATATATATATATAAATATATAAAAATCAAGCATAACTAGTGTTCAAATTTTTTAGACAGAATTTAATAAACCTTTTTTTTTTTTTTTGTATGAATAAATATATAATTATAAACACTTAGTCCTAATCGATATTTTTTTTTCGTGTGTGTGCGTGTATAGCAAGTAAAAAAGAAAACTCTTTGAATTTATAGCGAGTAATGAGTTCGTAAATGTTAACAAAAGACAAGGACAGCTAGACAGACGGACGAGTGAAAAGGACAAAAGGACACAGGACAGATCAAATGTATTCGAGACAGAAGCAAAGCGAAACAACAACACAAAACAACTGCAAATACATTTTAGAGATTTAATAAAAACCATTTACAAAAATTAAAAAAAAAAAAATAATAATAATACAAAAAGTCTTTTTATTGCAATTTTTGGTGGAAAGTTATTTTATTTAAATTTTTTAGTAAAAATGGGAGACAGGCAATGATTTCTTAATAATTTGAAGATTAATTTCTTTCTTTAAGTATTAATTTTCCCACAAAATTATTAATAATCATATACATATATAGTATAAAATTTACTACAAATTTTTAAGAATCCCCTTCCTCTACATTTATATTTTTCTCTTTCATTTCAAGAAATTCTTTAGTGATATAGGAACACATAGAAAAACTAATCTAAACTGAAATGAAATAATAGGAAATAATGGCGTATTCAAAGAGTTATTACCCCCATGCACTTTATGGGATCGTAAAAGACACCCTCCTCCATCGCTGCCCCCCCGGAAAGAGCTCTGGTATCGATGGAGCGTATAAACATGTTGGACACACCATAAATATGGTCTTGATTATGGTTGTTAGCTACCGTTCTGCGATTGGCATCGTAATCCGCCAGTTGTTGGGCTCGATTGCGGCACCAAAACAATATTTTGTGGACCCGGCAAACGATTACTATATAATATATATATATACACATAGGTATATAAACGATAAGGCGATACTGCCACCGGCCCAGACCCGGATGGATGGATGGATGGATGGATGGATGAAGCACTCAGTCTGGGGGCTTCGATTTGGAAACGATTAACTGACTATTATTAGGACAGGCGCCAAAAGAAGTACTTGTAGCAATAATATTTGGAAAGTGTTGTTTAAATTTAAATATACATGATTTATAGGATCGGAAATGACTCCTTTTATTACGTAATACCTTCTGACTGGAATTATAATACCCTCAAAGGGGTATTAAAATGTAAATGTTTATTTATAATTTTACATATTAATTTTTGATTAGCTTAAAAACTTGATAACTAAGCCAACAATTATGAATGTAAAAATCTTTGATACAACAAGGCGGAAGAAAAAAGAAAATGTTGACAAATGTTAACAAATGTTGCTCAAAATAAAGCTAAAATTATCGAGAAATCCTCATAACCTCTATGAAAAACCCAATGTTCTTTTATCCAACTTTCAGAAAACAATCTCCGATTTATTTTTATAGCTGCTTTGTGTGGCCACTTGAGTGCACTGACCGTAATGCCTTGAAATCCATCGCAATAAGAAATTTAAAACGTAAATGTAAGATATGTTTGTTGTTTCCCATTAGCACCACAATTTGGCAGAGAGAGAGAGTAACCAATAAAAACTGCTCAAGAGAGATCCTCTTAAACCTTGGTACGGTAGAACCTCCACATCTCGCATATGGATGGCGTCACAGTGCATTTACACTCCACGGGCGGGACATGGGGAACGGGCTCCTGGCGACACTCGGAGTAGCTGGGGTACTTGGTATTTCGCTTTTTACAGCGTCCACCCCTTTTGCCGGGTGTACATTTTGGGGGATCCCGGACATCCACACAGCAGTTGGGCATCTTGAAACGCGGACACAGGCTGGGCTTCATTAGCTTGCAGGATTTTAGTTCAATGTCCTGCTTGCCCAGGACACACAGGTTCTCTGTACAAGCATTCTTCTTGTGAACCTTGCGCGATCGGCGAGGTATCTTGGGCTCCACTGGGACACACTGCACCTTGCACTTGCGCCGCTTGACCACACACTCGTTCCAGGTGCGCGAATACTTGCGCCTGAACATATCCTGGGGCTTGTAGTGGGTAACATCCATGCCCTGGATTTCGGTGGCGCACGGATCATTCAGGCACGCCTTGCGCGAATCAATGAACGAGGGCATATTGAACTCGGGATCCGAGCGGCACTTGAACTCTGTGCGACGCATCGCCTGCCAGCAGGAATCGTACATTTTCGCTGGATCTGGGACCTTCATCTTCTTGAGATCTTTGCGTGCTGGCAAACTGGGATAGGATCCCATGTCCCTTTGGCATAGACGCGTGCGAAAAGGTTTCAGAAGAGCGGAAACGACGGCCGAACCCTTTGACTGCATCATCACTTTAGTCATAATTTTGATAAAGCCAAAAAATTTATAGAGACACTTGTTCCATCAAATTGGATAAAATTTTGAAGTCAAAGTGTTAAAACGATGGAAAAACTTTTTTGAGAAAAAGAAAAGTAACTACCGACTCAGACTGGGTTATATTGATGTGTTTTCCCCATAAATCTGTTGAAAAGACTGAGGCAGTTCCAGTTTTGGGTCAAGCATTTTGACAGTTGGGATTGAAGTAAGTTTCATGGGTGGCTTGTTGGGTTGAATCTTGTTGAAATCTCTCATTTGAAAGCAAAATTGATAGATTTTTGAATGCTTATTTCAAGGGATATAGAATTGTCCTTTCGGGATTATTTTGAAAATAAAAATATTTAATTAAATATTTAATAATATAAATAAAAACAAAAATTAAGTTACTAGTATAACAATTCCTTGTGGAAACAAGTCTAATCTAAGCTAAGCCTTAAATAAAATCTACAAAATATTTCTTATAATTTATCAACTATAATAATACCCTTTAAAAAAACATAAATATATATACAAGCCGACGGTAAATCAATTTCGGCAGATAATACTACCTAGTACATGTACTTGTAGGCCTCCCCAGAGATATCTCGCAAATAAAGAACTCGAAGTCAAGTAGAGGCTCTGGAGTATCTCATAAAATAGCAACGAGTGCTATTCTAATAAACGACAAATTAAATTACTCATCATCCATCCAGGATCCCATTATATTTGTGCGATATTAATAAACATCGAGTGCTAATGGTTCCTATATATGTTCCTATATATATACTTCGTATACAGTATATCAAGTAAGAGTACGAAATCGAAACACTCTTTTTTACACGGGGTGCCATAAACTCAACAACTGCAGCTGAAGTGCCATAAATATTGTCCCTACATACAGTGGCTATATAGTATAGTTTGCCCCTCCGTTTAATTATATACTTTAACGATCGTTCAAGCGAGCGAGCGACTTGTTTATATTTTTTTTAGGTTCCCATTCTCAATGGGGAAAGGTTGGCCTAATCACTATGCTAAATCATGAGGAATGGTCATGATTGCCACTCGAGGAGTGCTGATCAGTGGATGTGGGTTAACCGGGGGTTTAATTGTACCAATTAACCAGGGGATTAAATATTATAGTTATTTTTGAATATGAAGAAATCGGAAATAAAATGAAATTTTTGTATTTAAATTATATAATAAGCTGAGAATAAATTGTATATTGGTATTTACTTTTCTCTAAATATATATTTTTAGTTTTAAATTTTATTTGTTTTAAATTTTATTTGTTTTAAATTTAATTTCTTCTAAATATTTGTTCTTTTTAATTTAATTTCTTTTAAATTCTTTTTTTTTTTATTTGATTTATTTTAAATTGTTGTTCTTTAATTAATTTGAAATTAAATTTATTTACAATTTTTATTTGAAATTTAATTTATTTAAAATTTAATTTATTTAAAATTTAATTAATTTTAATTTAAATTATTTAAAATTTAATTTATTTTAAATTTAATTTATTTGAAATTTAATTTATTTAAAATTTAATTTATTTAAAATTTAATTAATTTTAAATTTAAATTATTTAAAATTTAATTTATTTTGAATTTAATTTATTTAAAATTTAATTTATTTAAAATTTAATTTATTTAAAATTTAATATATTTAAAATTTAATTTATTTAAAATTTAATTTGTTTTTAATTTAATTTCTTTTGGAATATTTTCGTTTTAATTTAAGTTTCATTTAATTTTAATTTCTTTTAAATTTAAATCCCTTTAATTTTCATGTATTTTAAATTTAATTCCTTTTAAATTAAATTTCTTTTATTTAAATTGTAAGCATCTAATATGTATATCCAGCTTCAAGATCCCCTCACTCCAAAATTCGTATCAAAAATCGTGGCACGCAGTGGGCTCTTGGCCAGCAAATTACCAGAAGTACATAATTGCTGCACCCGTTTATGAGGGGGCCCCCTTATAAGCGATATAGAGTATAAAGTGTGGCCATAAACCAATCGATTAGAAGCGGGTACTAGTGAGTGTGGCTGTGTGAGTATGGAGTGGAGTGGGAGTGTCTGAAATCCAGGTACAACACAACAGAACCTCCTAATCGTAGCCTAATCATTTGCATACCCGTATCGCTTGGATTGGATCGGATCGGGACAGGATGTTGATTAGGCCAGTATATATTCATATATATTCCCACATATATAGAATAGTACGTAAACGAGTATATGGCCCAAAAGCGAGTACATTTCAATACAATTCAATGATCTAGATTAGGAATTGGAGGAATTGGAATGGAAGTCAATGCGCAATCGTGAAATAAACTAATAATATTTCCCTCCTATGAGGTCTATAAGGTCTATAAGGTGGTCTATAAGGCTGAGATAAGGCTCGATTCTGGCTCCCTGCCTGTGTTTGGACTGTTGGACAACCCGCTACGCTTACACGCTGCCCAAAGCTGATATTGCCTTCCCTCCGACAGGGCGATATCAGCGATATGTCTCACCCGACGCTTGGACAGTTGGTATTTGGTCGATCGCCCCCGATCCGATTCGATTTGATCCGTTCCGTTCAGTGTTGTTCCTGGACTTTTTGTCAGTTGGTCTGGTCAGGAGGAGGCGACATGCATGACCGTCATGTCGTCGTCGTCGTCGTTGTTGTTGTTGTTGAGTACAAACGTGCAGCTTATCTCGCGAGGGGTGTTAACACACACGGTTTTACGGAGGCCCCAAGGGGTTTTGGCTTCGGAGGGGGTCCGGCGTTACCAGGTAACGGGGGTTTACCAGGTGCTCAAAAAAAAAAACTCAGGAAATTGGTTGCATTTCTGGTTTACAAAAGGGGTTTTTAAGAGATTTTTAAACAAGGTTTCCAAAGGTAATTAAAATATTTTGAACATCATAAATTTGTTATAATTAATTTAATTCTAGGTTTTATTTTTAATTATTTTTATAGGTTTTTATAAATTTTCAAATGTTTTTTTACAGATTTTCATCAAGTATTTTAAATTATCTATAAATTAGTATAGATTTTTAAGGACTTTTATTAGATCTTCAAAGATTTTAAAGGATTAGAATTCGAGAATTTTAAAAAATTTAGAATTTTAGAAATTAAGAAATTTTGAAATTTAGAATTTTAGAAATTTAGAATTTCAGAAATAATTGAATTTTTTTTTTTTTAATAATTTAATTTTAATTTATAATCTCTTATAAACTGTATATATTCTCCAATTTAAACTCTAATCTTCTATCTACATATCTTCTCCCTAATTAATACCTAGTAATTCTTGTAACTGTAATAGACACTCTCAAACAAAAACAAAATATGATTCATTCTCCTCATAACAAAATCACTGTGACTTGTCATATTTTACACTTTTAATCTTGTTATTTTTACTAAAAGAAAATTCCGGAGAATATTCCGCAGATAATTCAACAGAAAATTCCCTATACATATAGTAAATACAGTTGTTTGTCCAGCTCTTTTCCCCTGAATTGGGTAATGGGAACAAGGCGAAAATGACTCCGAAATGGAATCAAAATCCATATCGAGGAGGAGGCGCCTCTGGACACTTGTCGTCGTCGTCGGAGAACATTGGCATTGGATGGATGGATGGCTTACAACACTTGGTGTTCGCTTTTGCCACCTGAAATGCCTGAATTTGGCATTGATAAAGCCGTGTCTGTGTCCGGACGGACATCGTTGACACAGATACGTATAGTCCAGATACAGATACAGATACAGAGGGAAGGGGAGAGACAATCGTTGGCAGTTTGTAATGAAAAATTGATTAAAGCTCGACGCTCGACCGATCAAATACTAAATTTATCACAAAATAAACGTGGAAATTAAACACAGAGCAGAGCAGAGTGGAGCGGAGGACGCGGGAGGGTGAGAATAAATGAGATTACAATTAATAAAATAATCGATAAGTGGCCTTTACGTGGCTGTGGCTACAATCGCATACATAAACAAATAGAAATATATATATATATATATAAATATATATATTTGTATTTATCGGTTTCAGATTGTAGGCCAAAGTTAATTACGCTTTTTGATTTGCCATAGCCACTCGACAACGACAACAGCGACGGATTCCATTCGGAATGACCCGTAGATCCTTATCCAGGGCCCGGCAGACCGGAAAATGTTGTTGATTTTGAATTGAAATCTATATTTTCAATGTATTTAGAACATTATCATATTGGGTTTGGGAACCCTAAATAAATTTAGCCCCTTAAAGTGTTTCAAAATGTCATTTCAAGTGGAAGTTTATGCAACATAGAAGCCTAATTTCGATTATTTTGGAGATAATTAAGAAAAAACGATTTATTTCGATTTATTTCGATTAATTTAGAAGTAAGAATCACATCAAACGAACCGAAAAAGGGTTATTCAGCAGAGTAATAGTTAAAGACAGTATTTTTCTATAAAACAAATTTATCGAAAATTTGAAGAAGATTTCGATTGATTTTCGATAAATTTAAAAGAGAGAGCCACATCAATCAAACAGTAAAAAGGGTTATTCTTCACAGTAATAGTTGAAGAACCCAATTTTTCTATGAAACAAATATAGCTTTGTAGCCTTTTGTCGATTAATTTAGAGAAGTTTAAAATATTTCGATTAATTGACACATATTAATGGAAAAATAGTAATTTTGCATAGTGGAAAATTCCCATTTTCCCCATTAAAAGCAGAGAGCTATCCTAGGCTCCCCCTAGTTTTAATTTACTTCCCAGCTGGACTCGTGTCCGCAGGCCAAATGCCATTTTAATGACCCAACTCTCTCGAATCTCCTGGGCTGGGAAAAGTGAGAAAATGGGAAATGGGATCCACGACTTTGTAGCGAACGCAGTTCTAATTAGCCTATGCGGTGCAATAAACCAACGGAAAGGAAAGCGGAAAAGCAGTGGGAGGCTTTGGGTTGGAAAATCAAATCAAATTAAGTCGCCGCTTGATGGGTGGTTGTGTGGGTTTGGATTTTACAGTGTTGCCCACCCGACACGACTGGCGTTTTTAATAATGTTGTTGCTCATTTCGCGACCAGCGTCATTATCTGCATGTAATTTCTCATTTTCATAGTCAATTAAGTCAATCACACGCCCTTTTAGCCACCGCAAGCAAGGCCGCCGCCGCCGCTGACGCCGACGCCACCCCCTCGCGATGAAAAGCGAAGCATTGGAAGGC